ATAATAGTTGTATAATTTTTTTGTGTTTATATATTTGGATTATAACTTTTAAGAGATTAAAAGTGTTGTAGATGTTGTCAACACTGATATTGTTACTACTGATAATTGATATTACTGCATGGCTTAAGTCATAGACTATAGAGCATAGGGTGCCTCCGGATTTTTAGAAAATGTCCAAGGGTGCCGCGAGTCAAAAAAAGTTGGGAACCTCTGGCTAAGAGGACGTGATATCCGCATGTGTTGTCTCCGTCTTACAAGTGCGTAACATAGCAAATTCTACGCAAAACAGAACACGTGTAGCTCCGTTGGTTTAAAAACTAGAGTGAATTGACCTCTTATATAAAATCTAAAGGTAAGATTATTATCTGGACAACCTCATTGGCTTTTTATTATATTTTAATTTGTAAGCGAGCTATGAGTATTTTAAAATTGTAAATTGTTTATAGATCTTAAAGTACTCATAACTAGCTTAAAAATCAAAATATTAAAAAAAAGCCCATGATATTGTCTAGATAATAATCTTACCTTTAGATTTTATAAGAGGTTAATTCACTCTAATTTTTAAATTAACGGAGCTACACGTGTTTTACTGAGAGTAAAATTTGCTATGTTATGCACTTGTGAGACGGAGACAACACATGAGGGTATCACGTCCTCTCAAGATAAACAGGTTACGAAACGCAGCTGTGATTATTGAGGCTCTCGTCTGTCAATCGTCGGGTACCAGCGAGAATGATGCCTAGCGCTCCATGCGGTACTATTTAGCTTTATTTATATTTTTCCACTATACTTTTTGAATTTTGCGGAAATTTTTGGCTTTTGCCATGTATTTTAGTTGGTGGTTCAAACTCATCATTTAGATTAACTTTAAAATAATTATGTTCATTAAGCATTGTCATTGTTTCATTCATCTAATAATATGTTTAAATTTGTAAAAATAAAATATTTGAATTATTAATATATTTATATATCTAAACTATTTCCTAAACTAACCTGGTTTATATCATTTACTTTGTCACTTAAACTATTGATTGGTATAACTCCAGATTTTTTTAATAGTGGCTTTCTTAAACAAATCTAAAAAAAAGTACCCATTATCTATTCATTTTTAATTATATGTATATAATATATATATAATATATATATATATAAATTATACATATATATTCATATATTTAATTATTATAAAAATATGATTTCACATTAATTCTAATTGTATTAGGTAATCATGTATGATTTCAATAGGACATACCGAGATTTGGCTACTACCATTACCAGACTCCCATGTTGATGTAATATCAGTAGGTTTAAAGTGGTTTGCACAAACTCTTGAATTCCTGTTTAAAGGACACCCAATAATATTTTCCCAAACACTCATCATATTTTGAGGAACATCAAATTTAAATGCAGCACTTTTACTACACCCAGGAACTCAACACTTGTTGGAAACCATATCGGAATAAAGAAAAATATATTTGTAAAGTGTACAAAATAAACTACTACTAAAATGTAAAACCAAGAAAAATGGAAATTGGTGCAACACTACAAAAGCAAATTATTGAGGATTGTGTTGTATTGTAATCTCTATTCCAAATCCAAAATATCATGACAAATAATATAATATAATATAATAATATATAAATTGTCATACCAATTTGTATCTAATAATGAAAATTCGCGGGTAAATGTTTAAAGATAACATTGATAATAAATAAAATTGTTTTTGGCCTCAATACTGTTCTCACACAAACCATCAGCTGTTTATATTCGAGAATCTTTGGGCATCATTTCTGTTGTATAGTTTTAATGTGTAGTTTCGTAACCTGTTTATCTTAAGCCATGGATATAACTGATATTGTACTTATTATTATTATTATGCTAAAAACAGTGTTTTAATTTGTTTTTTGAACTTTGTATGCATGTAAAGTAGGTACATAAATTAAAATCCTAATCTAATTTTGGTTCTTCGTTTTATTTTAAATTAAATGTTACGGTTTTTTCTTGAATCAATTATGTTTATTTCTAACCAGTTACCTACATATATATTCTGTATACTTGACCATTTTTTTTTAATTTTTGATCGTATAATTTATTATTTAATTACATCTTTTTTTTTCTTATGAATAATAGTGTATAGATATATTATTAAAGGTATTTATAGTATAATATTATATGATATTATATTTCTATAGAGTAGGTATATGCTGTTATATTCATTAAATAATAAATTATTATTATTAATCATCTACATTTATCTATTATTATCATTGATTTTATAATTCGTTCCATTATAATGTGCAGTGACTATAATCCGTGAATGAATTCTATGGTCACGTTAAGTTAGTTATTTTCCTAATGTGAATTCCGTATAAATTTAAAATACCTACATTGTAGAAATTATTATTCTTTAAATGAACAACCGAAAAAATTATTTAGCTTGCTACATTAATTGTTCGTGATTTAAAATAAATGATAAATCCTTTGATCTCACTTCTGACCACGGCTATAGAAAAACCATAACCCTAAAAAAGTACTCGAAAAACGAACGTCCTCGACCAAACTCGTATGGAACACCATCGTTTGCCTTACACCTACCATCCTTCTCTGTCCGTCTACTCAGTTTATCTTGGGACGGCCAGAGTGATTCTGAGATAACACCGTCGGCGGTGGTTGTTTGTCCCCTTTTTGCAAAGTTCCGGCGGAAACCTTCGGTTGGAGTGGTTGAAGTTTCACCGACTATCCCGACGAAACGACAGCCCGTGTTCAAGGTCAAACCAACAGAATCTTTTTTTGCTTATAATATGGGGGGGATGATACGACCTTGGCTCGACCGCAACCCTGGGAGGCCCCCTTAGTCGTACTACCGCGCGTCAGTAATCGTCATCGTTATGAGACACAATAATTTGGCCGAGCCAATCCACGGCTACCGACCTAAAGGGGCACGACCAATCGGCGTGCAACCAGAGCTTAGGTACCCATCGAGTGGTCCCGCAGACATGACGTCTGGTATTCGGTTGGGGGAGGGGGGGGGTATGACCCTTTTCAAAAAAACAAGAAAAACATACGATTCCCGTTTCCGCCAAAATGTATTTTCGTGAAAAGACGTCTCCGCCAAATATTATTTGGGAACCGCATGATGTACTTACGTAATACGTAACGATCACGTGTGTAGACTAAAATAAGAAATTGTTCGAATCATTGAGCAACTTCATATCACATATTATAAATATATATATATCTGCGTTATTGAAAACTTAAAACTAATGCAAGTGGAATCATAATAAAAATAAATGAGATCAAGAAGGGTAGTATAAAACCAAGTCATAAAGACGAAAAAGAACAAATACAATTTAGCTATGAAGGGTGAGATGAGTACAAAAAAAAATATTTAAACAGAGTAAAACATACTTAAAAAAATCGCCTATACATTTTGGGGAATGGGTTTATAATAAATGTATTATTATTGTAATTAATTAACTTTTTATTATTTGACATTCTTATTAGTTATTAATGACTAATGTGTATAGTAGCTATATTTATTATTTATTTTTATTTTACGTAAAAATTTAACTATTTTAAATTTCTAAATAATAAACAGATATATGATATGTATGTCTGTATAACATTTATCATTGTTTTGAAAATAATGATCAACTTTTTTTATGATTTGTCGATAACTTACGGCAACGTTGCACGAAGAATGAGTGAATTTGGGCTATATAAATCAGGGTTTTAAGTTTTTTATTTTGGGCGCAAATGTCTATAACCCTTGCGAATGGGATACATCCTTTTTCGCCACTCCTACAGGTGCGCCCTCCCTATATCATTCACCTGGATACGCTATCTATTACGACCTCCGGGCTCCGACCGCGATGTAGGATGGGGTGGGTTCTTTATTTTTCCCCCTACAATATTTCCAAGCTCATTCTCATGGATTTACTAGACGAACTTATGTTACATTATATATTTATATGACAGTTAAATGCATAATATGAGACGATATCATTGACCATTGTGATTGGTAATATTTAATATTTCTCGATGCGTTTTAGTTATTTAATTTTAACTATCCGCAAGATTCCAATAAATTGAGCTGTCAACAATTCAATACAATTTATTAGTAATGTAAGGAATTCATTACAATTTATTTCTACATTCATAACAATATAGTTACTGTACGTCTGTACCTAGTAGCTATAGCACCTACGACCTACCTATAATATGGGTAGGTATAGTAATATAGTAGCTTTAAATAGGATTATATAATATAATTAGGGCTGGGAATTTAGTTCCCTAAGAAAAACTAACTAAATGCCTTGTAAAAACGCATTCGTTTAGTTGGCTCGTACCTATCGAATTTATTATGGTTGTATAGAGTTTTAAATGTAAGAATGAATTGTTTGTGTTGATAGTAGAATACAGCTTTGTACAAATCTCTGTTAAAATCATAGAATTTATTATTTTTTAATTTACGAATAGAATGAACTAAAATTCTTAAAAATTGCTCTTAAACATTAAAAAAATTCGGCATATCCATTTACCAAGACACGAAGCATTTATACCAAAACGATTACCCGGTAGATAGAAAAATGCAAAGTGCTTTGAAATCTCAGCCCTTACTATAACTATACAATTGTAAAACCTTCGAGTTATATTTTTGTTTTTATTGTTGTTACTTGTAACTTGTTAGTTAATTCGTATACAGATGTTTATTAATATGCATATTTTATAGTTTCTGTAAAATTGAGTTTTAAATTGTGTTACTTTTCTTTAAGCTAAGGAAGCATACTTGATATTATGCTAGCTTTTAGATAATATATATTTTTGGATGAAACCAGTACGTTTAAAATAAAATATATTATAATTTGTTTAAATACTACAATGACGATGTGAAAACAAAATATACGCAAAATGGATATTATATATATATATTTATATTAAAATGCTACATGTTTAATCACTATTTATTTAATTATACTTATATTTATTTGTTAATATAGATGTCTGTGTTATTGAGCAGTATTCAGCGAGCTACAGAATGGATAGAACAAAATACTGGTAAATACCTAGTTTAAATAACTGTACACAAAAAATAATTTATCAGAGGTAAAAAGTGATTCTTTTAGCAGCAAACACTCTACATTTCAAAAATAATAAGCATTTAAAGTTTCGATGCTTGAAGTGGTGCAGCAAAAATGGCGAGGCTCAACTTTTTCCACTTCTTTTTTCATAACTTTAAATGCCTAGCAAAAAATACATTTTTAAATATTTTATATTTTCATTAAAATATATTTCTTCAGATAATTATGTTAATAACGTAGGATTCCGTTTAAAATTCAATAATCAGTACCTAGTATGATTATAGACTACCTATATAGTAACAATGAGTGCACTGTCTTACCAATTAGCAAACATAAATGGTTGATAACAATGAGATTTTTCATAAACTATAAAATGAGAAAAACAAATCCGGTTGTAAAGGAAATCGAAAGAAATCATCCCCTCATCATGAGGTCATCTGGATAATGTTGATTCATAGTGTAAAATAATTACAGTTAGGCTTAGGACCCAGTTTGTATAGTGTATACAAAGTAGTTAAAAACGGCTTTTGAGTATGTGCATGCGATTCCATTGTTGTAATCGAGTGCGGTAGAGCACACACGACAAGATAGCCACAGCAACTATATAGTATCGCATCAATCATATCATATTTAAAAATGTTTACTCAATACTCACCTATTTGAAGTATTGAATTTAATAAATCACTAAATGATGTTATAAATTATAATACATTATGATATATTATTATATATACCTGTAGTATAATGTGTAAGAGTGTTATATTAATATATATTACCATAAGAGTGCGCAGACTTAAATCGCAGAAGCAGCTTACAGAATAAATCAGCCCTTCTTTATGATCCTCCAAATAAATATTGAACAGCCAGACATGATAGGCCTAGGGGCCCCCTCCCAAGCTGTATTTCTAAAAAACTTTATACTTTTAAAAACAAAATTACAAAAAAAACATATTATAATATCGAAAGTTTTCTGAAAATGATGATTTAATCCCCCTCCCTCCACCATGTCTCTGGAGCCACCCTCTTGCAGCCAGAATTATTAACTGTATAATACAAAGGTAGATAGGTAGCCTATATTATTGTGATTACATTGGATATAATATAGTAGAATTCGTAATTTTGACTAGGTACCTTATTTGTTGTGAACTTTGTACAATTGTACAAAGTATAAATTATGTAACGAAAATATTGTTTCAGATCCATTTAACCTAGTTATATTAAAAAATTAATTTACCTGGCCAGTCGGCCGCCGACTGTGACACTTAGCTGCTATGACTTGCACCATGGCGATGAAAATCACCACCCTGCCAATCAATTGGCCCAAGAAATGTATAGCCTTCCTCCCCTCCAAATATCAACTAGACCCAAATTTTAAAGTTTGATATTAAATTATTTTTCTGTTTCATATGGTGAAAACAATCCCACAAAAAACAATAAGAATAATAACAAACACAATATCATAGTAAAACCAATACATAATACATTCATGCCCCGAGCAAAATCTAAAATATATCAATATATTAGGTATGAAAATTGACAAATTTACTTATTTTACAGAGGTAACTGTAAGTATGATTGAGTAACAGATATACTGGATATTATTATTCGATAACTTAAAATATATTTGTGAACATAATATTATTGAATTTATACGAATAACTAAGTTTCATGTATAAAACTATAATAGTTATATATTTATAACCTATATACTATGCAATTTGTTTGTTTCGTATTATTAAAAAATTGTTTATTATCTTTTAGATCCTCTTGTTAAAGATCTTTGGTTTATGGGATCAATATGGCCAGTTACGATTGTAGTGATTGCATATTTGTACTTTGTTCTTAAACTTGGACCGGAATTCATGAAGTTTCGTAACCCTTTCAACATTGACCGCATTGTTATGATTTATAATGCTATACAAGTTATATTTTCTTTGTACTTGGTGAAAGAGGTAAGATAAAAACATTTTTTTAAATAAACACCATAAAATATTATTTGTTTAGAATATTATAATATACATAGCCACATAGGTATTTAAATAATAATTTCATCATATTTGAACGATAAAAATTGAACTTTGGCGTGGCACTTTATTTTAATTTTGAGAGAGTGGAAGAGTGTTTGGCGTACCTATTAATTTAACTGTGTGAATAGTTAAATCTCACACACTAAAAATAATCTGAAAATAAATACAATTTTAACAGAGTTATTTTTCCTTAGCAAAAAAAATGTTGGTATTCAAATTACATATTATTTAATATTTTAATGATACAATAATAATTAAATATAAAGTTGTGAAAAAAATGATTTTAAAGTAATTTTTCTATAAACGTTATATATACGTTATATATAACGTTATTATATCATAATATTTATGCCTAAATAATGTATATACTATATATATCATACAATATACATATAATGTTATTCTCGGATATAGGCATTTAGACTGGTGTGGCTGCGAAACGATTACCGATTCTATTGCATTGAAAGAAATAAAGAGGATCCTGATATAGCAAACCAAGTAATTTTAAAATTCTTACGTGCCCATTTTACTCTCAGAAAATATAATTAAATTGTTAAGAAAATATTAAGTATTGTTTATTTTTTAGCAAGTATATACAGTTTGGCTGTTCCTCATTAGTAAATTTCTGGACCTCCTAGACACAGTAATTCAATTTTAATTTAATAAATAACATATTTTTCTACTTTCAACTAATAAGTTATACTGAACACTTTGCATTAAAAACGATTTTAGGTTTTTTTTGTACTAAGAAAAAAACAAAGTCAAATAACGTTTTTACATGTTTACCATCATACTTTGGTTATAACATTCGGCTGGTATTTAACTAATTTTTATCCAGGTATAGTTATAAATACATTACAACCATAAGAACCAGTGGTGTGCGCATGTTATGTGGTGGGGGGAGGGGGAAGGAGGATATATTATCCTCTCCACGGGTCTGTTCTTTTTTCGTTCCTCGGACTTAGGACGTTTTTCTACACTTGAACGGTTAACCGTTGGAAAACATAAATAAAAATTACAACTGAGCAATCAAGGTTAAATGGAGTACAAATATTATATTATTATATTATAATATTATTTTTATATAAATTATTTAAGACCCCCTCCCCTCCCCCATATCAAGTTTCTGCGCACACCACTATAAATAATTATCAAATAATTCAATAATTTAAATCAAATCAATCAAATTTACTAATGTTAAATCAATTTTAGGAGGACAAGTCGCATTCTTTGGTACCATTAATGCATTTGTGCATGTTATAATGTATAGCTACTACTTTTTGACTGTAATAAACCCAGAATACAAAAAAGCCTGGTGGAAAAAATATTTAACGACTATACAACTGGTAATGTATACTTATTGATTTTAAATTCATATTATGAGATATATATAAGTAGCTTACTTTTTAGTTAACTTTCAAGTTAATTTACCAATGAAGTCTTGTCGGAAAATTATTGGTTGGAACGTAATTCGTTTTAAATATATTTACTCGGAAACGCATAATGTGCTTGGAAATAAAACCTTCAGAACATTTTATTTTTGAATGTTTTTTATTGAAACGTATTTTGTCGGATTACCTACCTAGTTTAAGTTCAGAAACGTGTTTTGTTGGAAATGTATTTATTCGAAACAGTATACCTTAACGTAACCCAATAATATACCTACCTACATTTCCAGCGAAATATTTTTCATGGAAATAAGTTTCTGAGAAAATACGATTCCGGCCAAACATTATTCAGTAAATTATAATATAGTTCCATCGACAATATTTTTTTTTGAAAACTATTGGTACTTAATATATATTGATAATTAATTTTCCATTAAAAATTAAATTAAATTAAATTCGATTTAATTTTAGTTATTAAGTTATTTTGTAATTTCTAATAATTACTGCACTTATACTTATACTTAGTACCTATTTCAACTTTTGACTGTGACCGAAATATAATTTAAATAAATAAACCTACATATGCTTCCTATACAATATTTTCCATATAAATACGTATCCGAATGAATTCGTTTCCGACAAAAAAATACAACAAATGGATTAGGATTCCAAAGAAATATAATTTAAACGAAACTATAAGTTCTAACATGACATGTTTCCGATGGGTTATTTTTCCACAGTTGGTTCAAAACCAACAATTTTCCAACTTTTTACGACCATCACCATCTATGATAATAATATACCTAAATTATTTATAGTGCTATGTTAGTCAAAGCAATAGTCAATAAATACATATACAATTAATAATATAATATATAATGTTTCAAATTTTCAACATATTGATAAGGTTATTAAAACAATGCTGAAACAAAAATTCAGAGCACTGTAAAATGAATGTACAAAACATTAATACACAATGACGAAGGTTGGTCTAGTTTAGATAGTCTCACCATTTGATAAAACACATAATTTAGGTACAATTATTAATTATTATTCACGGACTTTCGGAATGTAACTATGATATACTGATGTATTATAACTTGAAGGTTTCAACTATGGGATTATATTATATAGGTGTCCCTCTAAATATGTTTTTCGAATTATTAAAATATTTGTATTTTTTTATTTTATTAACAATAATGTAATTTAATGTAGTAAGATATTCAATATATTATGTATTTTAGTTCTCTTAAATTAAATTTAACAATAATTAATACATTTTGTTGCTTCTCTCGTGCTAAAGGAGAATTCTATAATTTATATCCTGTATATTGTATCGTGTGTGTGTGTGTGTGTGCTTGAGTAATTTTGTCAATGGTTTGAAATTATTATTAATATTATATTATAAGTAATACCTTTGTATTTATATACAAACAATTAATTTAAATTATTTGTGAATGTGGGTTGAGACTTAAAAATAAGATATTATTTTTATTATTTTCTAGGTGCAATTCGTCATTACTGGACTACATGCATTTATTACGCTATTTGAGCCTGACTGCGATTTCCCAAGATTCATAATGATATTAGCAATTCCACAAGATATATTTATGTTCATTTTATTCTGGGACTTTTATAAAAAAGCATACATTAAACCAAAGAAGATTAAACAATGATGAATTTGCAAAAGATTATAAAATAAAAATATTTATTATTTATTCCGTACCAATTTTTTTTTTGCTTATATTATCTCTATATTTAACGGAAAGACAAAATGCTTGTAAAATACTGATTTTATTTTTCAATAAGTATTCAATTTAATCAACTCATTTCGTAATATAAATAGTTTTAATAAACAATAAGAAAAGAACATAAATCATAATACATTAAATTCAAATGCCTGTGTACTATTTTGGAATTTGAAAGATTTGATTTGTAAATAATTTCTTTAAGCAATGTTGGCATGCCACTATAGGTAATAGGTGTCTACTATATAAGTACTAATATCTACCAACCAAACAATTTTAGAGAATAGGTGTATTCAATTTTTGATATAGTTAGATAATTTTCTGAGTGATGGATAATATATTAATTGATCAAATACAAGACGTATTGGACATTATCAATATATCAGAATTTTCCTAGGTCTTGAGTTTTTACTAATTGAAAATTGTTTGATAAAACTGATATTGTTTATTATTATTATTATTCAGTTTTTTACTTCAGTTGAAATACGAACAAATAATTTTACCTATTTTAATTAATTATTAAGTTTAAACAGTTGATTGTTTAAAAAAAAATGGTGAAATTATATAAATTTATTTTGATTTTTATGTAAATATTGCAGTACTTAATAATGAAATTTAAAAAAAAATTAAATTTTATAATATAAGTGGTTTATTTGTTCAAAAAAATATTTTGGAAAATACTTTGTATGTTATAAAATAAAATGTTATATTCATGAAAATCATAATAACCACTTTATTTTGAATTTATTCCCACTGGTTTATGTAATTTTATGAAAATAATCATTAATGACCAACGATTTGGAAATTATTGTAAATAACGAACAGTCTCATACTCTCATTATAACTACAGACAATTGTATATTAGATTAATTTCTCGTACTTAATAGAATATATAGTTAATGTAGGTACTATATTATAGAATGGAAAAATGTAAGTGTAAATTAATTTTTTATATTCTGTATAATTTGAAATTTTTAAAAGTTGTATTGTTTACCATAAGGATATACATTGTAATCATACACTATAACGAATCTAAATAAATCTAGCAGACGGCTCATTTCAAATGTAACTAAACATTTTATAAGATCTTGTATAAGTATTAATGAGTATAATAATAGTTTATGCTTTCACACTTTTTATTAGTGTATTTTAGTTAGAACAAATCAATCACTGGTAAAATAAATAGTCAATATAATCATCTATAATGAAAACAATATCCATGTTACACAACACACGGTTCAAGAAACTATAACCTTTTTAATTATTACTTATTTATTAATTTTTTGTGAATTGTAACTTTCAAAGATAATGAATTCAAAAATAAAATATTCTATTTGCAACTTCTAATGAGCAAACTTGTACAGAATTCATCATTCGGATATAATTAAATAATCAATTGTTAGTTTATAATCTTTTACTTTTAAGCTACCTAACGATTCCTGGTACTTCCATACTAAACATGGATGGTTAAAAATAAAAATCTATAAAAAAAAAAATTGTAATTCTGTTAATCTGAAAAATCTAATATTCAGGACAATTATTATTATCGTATGGACAATCTACTCATCATTCATATTATATAATAAAGTTGTACAAATAGGCACAATGTAGTCGGTAGGTACCCTCTATATTATAAAACTATTAAAACGTTTAAAACCACTTTTATATTACCTACGAGCGAAGTATAGAATGTATGGGTTTTACAATAATGTTTTATCCTGGATGTTTTATATATTACAGTTTTATGTTTTTACGACCTCCCCACTCCCCTCAATCAGATTATTAAAAATACCGAAATCGAGAGGAATTTGTTTGAAGCATACAATACCTATACATATACCTATAGTATACTTTATACCGAGAACTAAATTAACACTTAAAATCGTATTAAAAGCTAATAATACTGTCATCATTCTGCATAAATATGGTTTGAATGGTTGACTTGTCACTCATTTTAACACGGTCGAGTCAAATACCTACATTGTACACGATTTCAAACATTTAATTAATGTTTTATTTAAATCTAATATTGAGTTTTTTTTCTGGTAAATTTTGAACGTAGTTCGTTGACATTAAATCATTACATTACAAACTTCAAAAAGGCCTACCTCATATATTCCTCACTAGTGTGACAGTATTTCTAATGTCATTATTTCCTGCGTGACCTCTGTTACATATTCATATTAAACCAGTATCGTAGCCTAAAAAATGTTTGAAACTACAACACGGTCTTCATTTCGTCTCAAGAAACATAATTTTCGTTAGTTAACTTAAATTCGTCAGACCCATGTGACATGGTGGTGCGGTAAAAATTCTCATTACATTTCTGTAGGTTATATATTCCATATAACCTACCAATAAATATACCTTCCTATTGCATTTTAATTTTCCTTCACTTCAAGTTACAAATACACAACAGTACAAGGTAAGCATTATTAATAATAATTATTATAAATTGTTACAATTTTACATTATATTTTATATGATTTATGAGGCATAAAAATAATTACCAACATAATTTACAAAATTTATTTGAAAATAATACCTATGTACTATGCAACGAATCACCATAGTTCATAATATTGTTGTCTCGGTCTATGATAGTCATAGCACCTACTTAATTAAAAGTCATTATTCACTTAACCTATAATAATTAAATCAGTGGATGAGGATGTACTCAACGATGTACGTTATAGGCACCTTCAACTTATTCAAATATGATGCACAATATATAATTATAAAAGTCTTTCGAAATATGATAACTATTAAGTATCAATTTAAAGACAATTACCAATATACCTATTATGAATAACGATATTAATCTTGATTTAAAATTGTATTATATGAAATTTAAATATTCTCTTTTATATATTACTAGCTGTCATCCGAGTGCTCCGCCCCCCGTGGATAGTTGTTTGCAAATTGTGGGGCTGTTTCGTGGGTCCAAAAATCCTGTCTATTTATCTTGAAACGTTTTTTTTTTTATATGAAAAGTAATTGAACTATATGCAGAGTATTGTAAAACTGTTAAAAACTTATCTTAACTTTTCCGTTACCAGTAAAAAAATTGATGCTGCTCAAATAATTTTAACTGACCAATAAATTTGGTATTTTAATTGAATTTCCTATTTTCTTCTATCAATACCACCCACTCATATTTTAAGGTGTTGCTTAAGCAACACTTGGACCCTATGTTACACGCCACTGCCCACTGGTGCTGTTTATACCGGTGTAAGACATTAGCACCGAAATGAGTTGGTATAGTACGAGGGCGTCGTTCATAACCGCACACTTTAAAAAAAAAGGTCGTCGTTCGAACTTTTATACCTTAACCCCGCATATTTTCCCCAAATCAAACCGTTCAATACCGCACACATTGATATATATCAATAACGTTTACATAATTTATCTAAAATAACATTATCGTTTAGTACCGCACACCAGTTAAACATATTTAATCAAGAAAAAAAAAAATCATGAAAATAAAACATTGTGATGAAAGGAGCAGAAAGTTACCATAATCAACTTGGGCATGAGTTTTATGTTAAATTAGGAAAAAAAATTCTAAAAATGTGTTGGGGAGCTAAAGTGAATTTATGCCGATTCCTTATAAGTAGGGCTGGGATTTGATGCCCTTAAAAAAAATTGATAAAAGGTAGTCGGTTGGCTTTGATCCTATTTCAATTTAATTATGTATTGAATTATTTTCAATTAGTACTAAATCATTTTTTTAACTATAAAATATGTTTAATTTTTAACTGTCGATCAAATATGTGCGGTTTTGATCTATCGACCTTTCAAATTTCCTTTTTCAACCACAGAATAAATGTATGAGGTATTGAACGGTGTAAAATGCGCGATTATGAAACGTAAGTGTGCAGTTATGACGACCGCCGTAGTACGAAAGCTCAAAAATCCTAGATACTTGTATGCCACACTTAATAGATATTACATTTATTAAATATATTATATTTTAACAGTTTATTATCGACAATCTATACTATAAAAGCAAGTCCAGATTTTGTGTCATTTCCTCTTTTTATTTTAATAAAATTCTTCAACAACTAAAACTACAACAATCATAAGTCATAACTCATAACCAATAGAGCCACTACCTTACAATAAACAAAAATATATTATTATTTAGTTTATTTTTTTCCTGTACAGATGGCGCTACTGTTGTATTTTCGACATCCAGATTTCCTAATTTTCCTGTAGATTTTCCTAAAATGTTCTTTCATAAGAACCTTGTCCTGACAATTATGAACATAACAAAAAAAAAAATGAGCCTAATCGGTCAAGCCATTTCGGAGCCAAATCGCGACACAAAATCTTGACTTGCTTATAAGTATAGATTATATAACGTATATCATATTATATCTTATATGATTTTTTTCAAATATACCATTCCCAGTCAAACAACAAAATGATTATATTATCATTAAATTGGTTATTACTGGGGCGATATGCATACCTACATTTAATTTATAATGGTCATTGATTTGTTATTAACGTACAAAACGTATTTCTAATTTTTTTGTTATTGATGGAATATTATACTTATATTATTACGTGCCTCGTTACGAGCCTAATGATTTAAAGATATGGACAGGCCATAAAGATGGCACGGCCACCCCCCCCCCACCCGCACTCTCGGAGTAAAGGCTGTATTTAAATTGTATGAAAATTAAAAGTGTAGATATAACTTTACTTTTATAATATATTAGAATTTATCTTGCAACTTTGAATTATTCAAATATGGTTACTAAGAATAACTATTTAGTAGATATCATTATAAAGCGTATAACTGCAAAGATATAAGAACATCGCACTCACATCATGATTGAAGCTCATAAACAAAAATTAAAACAGACCGTATAATGGGTACGAAATGAGGTGTCCAATATATCATCACTAGATAAAGTGTCGTCCAGTGGTTGTATGATTATACTAGAATATCAATTATTTAAATAGCATTCATACTGTAATATTATCTAGAAATGTTTGCTTGTATTTCAAAAACTAATATTGTTCTAAAAGATCTAAATATACCACTGTTTTCATATTAAAAGCTAATATTATAACTTAGAATTAAGTTAACAGTATCAAAGGTGGTTAAAGTAAAAAAGAATTTTTATATTAAATTTGTTTGTAACCGAACAGTTTATGAATTATGATTAGGTATATTAACATAATTAAAAAAGGGGGATACCGTTCTGCTGTACAGTAGAGAGGTCACTAAAATGGATGTGTTAAATTTAAATTCAATGATATAAAACCATTGTATACGTGATTGTATTCATAATTGAAAATTGTTTTATTGACAATACCTATAATTAAAACAAAAACTATTACAAATCAAAAATTTCTTATGCGCATAGTGCTACTAATAGCTCAAAATTAGTCAAAATATTTAAAAATTGTATGAAGTATAGAAAATTAACATATAAACTTTTGGTGGACATTTCAAGTATCTACATTCTAAAGTTACTCGTTTTAGTTACACCAAAAACATAATCGATTTTCACAAAAACTGATATTAATTTGTAAAAATTCACAATTTTCCTTAATTTTTTTTTGTTTTTCTCGGCACTTTTGAAAACAACTGTGAATTTTCAATTTTTACCTGTCTAATGCACCAACTAGATTCGCTTTTCCACAAGATATGTTACTGGAGTTTAAATTCCAAGCATTATTTCGACTATTTATCGTTTACACAGTCACAAATAAAAAAAACACATCATCGTAAAATTAATACATTAATCGGTCCACTCGGATTTTAAAATGTAATATATTATTAATTCAATGGTGGGCAAGTTAATGAAAATAATTAACTGTGGAAAGTTAAGTTAATTCAATTAAATTGCCTTCAGTTAAGTTAAAAGTTAAAAAAAAAATAAAATTTAACTAGTTAAGTTAAAAGTTAAGATGGAAAATAAAATTAACTTAACTCAGTTAAAAAAAAGTTAATTTTTTTTTAAGTCATAATATTAACAGGTATAGGCTGTTTTTAAATATTTGTCATTTAGTACCATTATAATAGTCTATTATTAAAATAAAATCAATGAATAATGATAATAGTATAATACCTACCAAAAATTGTTTCAATATTTATTTCGATAATGTTATTTTCTAATCTCATACGTTTATTTGTATTTATAACGAATACGGCAATATAAATTATAATTTATAAATATCTCGGACGACTTTTTGTTTTGTCTATTGGAATTGTCGTATTTACCAGTAACCAGTATATATTATTGATATAATGATATCCATTTAAAGACTATGATATTTAGTTTTAAACCTGTTTTTAGGAATTGGAGAGTTAGATAAAACAAAAATCGGATTATTCCAAGCCTGGGCATAAACGCGTTAAAAAGTTAAAAGTTAAGTTAAAAGTTAAGTTAATTTTAACTTTAAACTTAACTTTTTGAAATTTAATTTTCATTAACTTAATTTTTAACTTAACTTATTTTAATTGATATAAACTTAATAAATAACGAGTTACTTTTAATCAAATTCAAGATAAAGTTAATTTATAAATAATTAAATAATAAATATAATAAAAAAAAAATTATTATTGATATTACATAACCATTTATGAGAATAGGAAATTACAAATATAGTTAAATTAATTTCTCGTTCCGTTAACCAGAATTCTTCAAAAAAATTAACTCGATTAAATACATATAGATATAGCAATATGCAATAGCCAATAGCCAATTATATTATAACATAGAGGTGTATCGTATATATAAAGATATACAGCGGCATACGGGCATATTGTAATAATAATAATTAATAAATACTAATAACTAATAAGTAATAAGTAATATGATAAACCTATTATCTTATTATTTTGATATAGATACAAATCAAAAATGTACAATTCTGAAGAACATAATGTAAAATATTTTCGGCATAAATAGGTTATTTTTAAATTAAAACTAATTGGGTTGTGCCCATGTACATTTATATTTCAAATGTTTATATTTATAAACAGTCAATATTGCCAGTAGACAAAATATTCATAGCCCACATGGGTTCACTTTTCGTTCTCGGCTCTATCAGCACGCAACACACGATTCCGGATTTACAATACCGCGTTTCAGTGATTTGTGTGAATTGTGTACCTACTATATAATAATTATGGGTAGGTAGAATTATTCTATTAATTCAGTACCTACCTATGTATAGAAAAGCTATTGGCTATTTCATGTGTTCAATAATATTTATGATTTTTATTATTTTAAACCATATTACTGGGTGTTTATATAGATACAGTAGAACTTCCATGTAACGGTCACCAAAGGGTCTGTAAATAATGACCGCTATTTAGAGGTGACCGTCCTACAGATGTAGGATAACACTCGACGGGACCAAAAAAATTGACCATTACATAGAGGTGACCGTTTACGGAAGTTTTACTGTATTATGAAAAAAAAAAATTAACTTAACTTAACTTAAGTTAATAAGTTAATTGAAAATGTTCATATAACTTTTAACTTAACTGAGTTAAAAAAAAATTAGGTTAACTGTTAACTTTAAACTTTTTAAAATGTTTTCCATTAACTTAACTTAACTCAGTTAAAAATTTTCATTAACTTGCCCAGGCTTGGATTATTCAATACCATTAAATAATATTAAATCATTAAATAATAGAATTCGTGAAAATAGCCAGTCGATACAAGGATAGTATACCAATTATTACTCTTTAGTCTTTACTATAGTACCTATAGATTATAATATAATTTGATTATTATGAATTGATGATATTATATTATTAGAAAAATAAATTACGAAAATGGCAAAATAGAAAGAATAAGTTTTGTCTCTTGGTTCCACATGATAAAAATTTAATTTAATTAACTTAACTGTACAATAATGATAATTAACTTTAAAAAGTTAAGTTTAAACAATACAAAATTTAACTGAATAAGTTAATAAGTTAAAAACAAAAAAAACTAACTAGTTAAGTTAAAAAGTTAAAAAAAAATTAACTTTTTAACTTAACTTTAACTTTTTAACAAGTTAATGCCCACCATTGATTATTATTATTAATAATTATTATTGCACTTAAACATACTAATTAGTTATTAGTTATTAGTTATTTTGTTGTTGTTAGGTCGTTGGTTAATTAGTTGATATTGTAATTATTGTTTATCCATAACCTCTAGCATCGCAGTACCGCACTCATATACCTAAGTTTTCTCCGCACTCTCCGTCTAAAATTAACTCATATAAGATATTGATATATAGGTGCTTATCAAATTTTACCTTGGGATTAATTAATTTTACTCTGTTATTTTTGATATTATAATGAATAAAATTAAAAAAGGTGGGTAAGTGGAAGTCACTCTGCTGTACAGTAGGTTACAAGTGGGTCACTGTAATGGATGGAGTGTTAAATTTGAAATCAATGATAAATATCATTGTATAAGAAAAACGAGTCTGAGCGAAAACGGCCAATCAGCCTATGATATTACTAAGTATATTTGATGATATTATTGTGAATAAAGTAATTTATATATTTACCAATTTAAGTGGACTCTTATTTTAAATTTTCGTTCCTTAGCTATACAATTTGAACATTTTATAAATTTTTAACTACAAACAGTTTTAATTAAATTTAAAAGTGATAAATTTTGTCAAAATTCGAAATATAAATGCTTATAAAAAAAATTGTGCATATGTATTTTTAACATTTTTCAACTGCTATTGTAACAATATATATATCAGGAGCCTTGCATTCAATTTTCACTCTTTTTTACAAAACAAATAAAATTTTATTGATATTTATAGAAAAAAAAACTAAAAAATTGAAAACTGACAATGTCCGTAAACAGCTCAAAAAGTGTCAAAATATTTTCAAATTTTTATGGTGTATAGAAAATGAAAATATAAACATTCAGTACAATTTTCATGTATCTACAATTATTTGTTTTTGAATAATAACAAAATAACATAACAGCTACATGAGAAATCGAGTGAATATCCAATACTGTAAAATTATGATTTATATGATTATTTACGCTCACAAAAATTTAATTTGATTTGCTTGTAGACATTTTTTTTTTTATAAAGGTAGATAAACTTATGATTAATCTTGTATTACATTTTCAAATCTTAGATTTAAAAAGAAAAAATTTTATGAATTCTCAACTCAAAATAATTTGCTAATTTTCGTGATTTTTCCTTATTTTGTCGAGATTTGAACTTCAAATGCTTTTAAAAAAAAATTGTGACTTTTTAATACATTTCAACTGCTATTGTAATAATATAGTTACTGTATTTAATTGTCTGGCTTCTTTTAAATGTTCAATACTTAGTTATAAAAGTTGAACATTTTATACATATTTAACTGCAAAATCATTTTTAAATTTTAAATTTGATAAATGTTTTCAAAACTCGAACTTTAACTGTTTATAAAAAAAACTGTGCTTATTTATTTTTAATATTTTTCATATATTATTGAAACAATAAATCAGGAGGTTTGTATTAATTTTTCACTCTTTTTGACCCAACAAATAAAATTATATTGACATTTATAGAAAAAAAAAATAAAAAATTGAAAATTGAAAATGTTTATATGGAAAGACTGAATTAAAATTTTTAATTTTCGCCCGCTCTCCACTTTAAATGGGTGTAGGAACGCCACTGCAAGTTAGTGTGTATTTGATTAACTATCCTTATTTTGTTCTTGTGACAGGTTATCCCTTAAATAGGAAAACAAAAAAATGGAGTGTAAGATATTTCTGTTTTGAAATAGTTATGTCATTTAAAATTGTATTGTCAATAATTGCATTATTTGTCTATATTTTCAGATGTCAGTTCTATATGAAAAAGCTTCCGATCTCTTAAAATGGATAGACAAAAATGGAGGTAAGTTTATAATATTTTAGACTATGAATATTCAAACATAGGATAATATAAATTATTATATATTACAATTATTCATTAGGTATGTTATTTTAACTTATATTAATTTTTATAATATCAAAATAATTTAAAACAGTGACAGCATATCTTTTTCAGTAGAACTATTACAATGGATTTGCATATTATATTACTAAATATAAAAGAACATCGATTTTATATTTTATTTTAACATTTTTTAGTTTTTATATTGAGTGATTCATCAATCATGCTCACTACAATTTGTTTCATTTAATAATGTATTAAAAATCTATTTTTTGGGATTTGTAAAAATAGGTACTTATGTCAGGTTGCATTAACGATCACTAATTAGCTAATGGTCTCTTAAACATAGTTTAGTGGTCCATGATTGGTCCATTAAATTTTATTGAACTATTAAATTAATTAATTTTTCATGCAACCCAAAAAAAATTTTAATAATTATAATATTATTATAAATAATAATAAATTATTATTTAATTTAATTTAATTTAATTATTATTTGTTTTCCGTTAAATAATAATAAATTATTATATAACGGAAAACATATCAAAAATCAAAATGAACATTTCAGCGAATAGTTTTTGAGTTACTTATACTTAAAACTTTGTGTAGGTACTAAGGATAATAAGTCGATGGTAGTATCCAGTGGGTTTGGAAGATATGGGTGCTATGGTGACTTGAAAATGTTAGAAATTTATATTATTCTATCAACATTGACAATTTGTAAAAACGGTCCCTGCAACCATTCCTAGGCGTATATAATAAATACTAGATCGATCCCAATAGCTATAACATCTTATCTATTTTATATTTTTATAAAATAATTTTTAAAAACTCTTATCATTTAACCATTTTAATAACCGTTTAGTTAAACCTTTTTAGCAAATAGTCGTTCTAAATTTAAATTGGACACATCCAAATGTTAAAAAAAATTACTCACATAATTATCAAAATAATTTACGGAATTAAAAAAGGGTTTTAATTTGAAAAATAGAAGTTTGCATCTCCACAAGACCCTCAATCTTTTAGTAGTGCAAAAAGTCTCATGAATTTAAAAAAGGTATTTAAGTGTGGTTATTTAAAAATTCCAAAAATCAGTATTTTAATAAATTCATTATCCGATGAAAAAATGGTGGTAAGCAAGCTTCATGAAACACCCTGTATATTTGTAACTTGTTTTATATTATTAATTTAGATTCAAGAATTAAGGATTATTTTTTAATGGATTCTCCATGGCCAGTTGTGATCATTCTTGTCGCTTATCTATACTTTGTTCTGAAGGCTGGTCCAAAGTTCATGAAGTATCGTAGCCCATTGAAAATTGATCGTATTGTAATGGTGTACAATGTTGTCCAAGTTGTATTTTCAGCCTATCTAGTGAAAGAGGTAATACAATATTTTAAACGGCATGACGTGTTACCAAGGTTGCAATACTGTCAATATTTATTTTATAAGTTACTATAATAATAATATAGGTATAGATATTATATTTTGTTTAAACATTGTCATTTATTTTATTGCACTGTTAACATTTGTATAATAATACTAGTTCCAATAGTATAATTATCTCGACTTAGCCCGGAAAAAAATGAGCAAACCCAAAATACGGCGCTATATCAGTATAATATCTTGGCTTTAGTGTAGGTATACCTACCTCAGTGGCTCAGTTTATGGGCAAATCGGCATCGGTGTACCTCGTTTGGTTTGTACTAATTCGACCGAGATGGGCCTGATACACCTGTTTCGGATAGATACCTATACCATATTGGCTGTTGCACTTGTTTTATTTTCAAACGTACCTACTTCATACTAGGTACTCTCTACATTTGCCTGATAACTGTATCAGTAAAGTAGATTTTGAGTATATAAGCTAGTAAGCTACAAACATATGGACGTAGCCTTTATTTGAATGTCAAACAATAAATATTATATTATTTTATTAAACGAAAAAATCCAATTGCATCGCATAGGTTGGCAAGTCAAAGCCAATTTTTTTTTTGAAATTTTATTTCTGTAGCCAATGAAAATCTATGCCTATATAAACAAGAAATTGTTTAATTTTCGTAAGCCAAAACGAAATGCATGTTTGAGCAACACAATACCAATCTACATGTGTGGAAACAATAAACTTAAACACGCCCTCCGAGTCTCGAGGAATCTATTGATATAAATTGTATACGGTCCTATATACAACCATCATATTATATAAAACCCCTGTATACATAGGTAAACGAATTGTTTTATTATGTCTATGAAGTAAATTCATTTTTTTTACTGTATTTAATTTACTATTTAATGTACTATTTTTATAATATCACCTTTAATTAAGGTTATAATATGATTACTCCGGTAGTGTACTGCAGATTTCTTCGATGATGATGTTGGGTATAATCCTAGAATATTTTAAGATATTGGGTAAGACAGAGATTTTTTCAGGTAATACTACTAAAGTATAATACTTACCTAAGTACTGATAAGAGGAACAAAGGATTAGTCTTTAAAAAAAACCCAACATTGGTTTGTTAAATTTAATTTAATTTTGTTTTTTTTGTTTAAATTTACAGGCATTTAGGTTAATATGGGTTCAAAATGACTACAAAATAAACTGCATTGAAATTGATTACAGTGACACAGATAAAGCTAGAGACGTAATATTAACTACACATATTTAATATATTATAGCAGAATATTATGTTACATGCAATGTTGCTGTATAAAAACGAAATATTGTACAATATGCGTGTCACAGTACATAAATACATAATATGATACATATTTCGTTAATTAATAATTATACAAATGTACCTATCCTAAAAAATCACCCAGTCTATAATTTATAATATATTAATTTTTATTGTCACAATATAAAAAAAAATAATAATAATACTAACAATTATAATATACCAGCTGATCCCGTGCACTTCGTTGACCGTTAAATGTATCAACTCTATATGACTCAAACTTTGTTCAATTCGTTATTTAATATTCGGTGTATGGTGTTAAAAATTTATCTTAACTTTTCTGTTGCCCCGAATAAAAATTCTGATTCGCAGCAGTACATTATCAAGTAGGGAATCTACCTAAGGTAGATCGCGAACCCCGTGGTGTTTGTACGTAAGTGTATGATTTAACTCTAAAGTATCAAAGTTATACTAAGTTTGTCGTTTTTACTTAATTCCCAACTACGGTAGATTAATATAATCAATTTATACAAAATCGTATCCTAACCTAACCGTACTAAAATCCGATGAATAAAAAAAAAAACAAATTTAACCCTTTGTAAATTAACCTATCTTCTTCCCAGAGGTCTAATCTACCCACAAACATTAATTTATATATTGTTATTGATATATTAATCTATAAATATATTTATATATCTAACTATATAAATACATAGACTATAACTGTACAGACTAAACTCTGGAACTACTTATCAGATCTTCTTGTATATATTATATATATGTATATTGACAAAAGATAATAATACAAATCAACAAACATGATTAACCAATAGCAACCAATATATCATAAACCGGTGGATTTTCCTAAAATTTTCTTTCATATAATAAACCTTTAAAACTCTTTCGTTTAAAAAAAAAATCAAGAAGATCTGATAAGTAGTTCCAGAATTTAGCCTGTACAGAGATTTTCCTTTCCCCTTTTTTATAGTTAGATATTATTATATTATAATTTATATTTAAAAAGTAAAGCAAATAGTTTTTTTTTTTTTTTATCTTATATATAAAAATCCCGTGTCACGTCTAGGTCCGGAATAAACTCCGAAAATACTGGACCGATCTTGATGAAATTTTTACAAAGTGTGTAATTTGTAATAATAACAAATCGTCGATGTGTATAATAAATGGTTTCTTTGTTATCTTGGCAACAAATTAAAACGACTAACTATAATTCTGTATTGAAATTTCTAGAACGAATCATTTTATATGACGTCACTCATGAAAACCATTTATAAACAAAAATGTCCATCTCCAGAAATCTTAAAATTCCCGTTTTAGCACCTCCCGGGGTTGATCCTCTTCCTTTTAAAATTAGCCTATCTTTTAAGTTCGGCCAAATTACACACATTGTAAAAATTTCATCAAGATCGGTTCTGTAGTTTCGGAGTTTATTCCGGACAAAGACGTGACACAGGCTTTTAATATATAAGATTTTTATTATCAACTAAATATATTTAAAGAAAATGTGAATATTGAACTGAAATTGTTTATTCTTATTATTTATAGATAGTTGGTGCTGTGTGGACTTACTTCTTTTCTAAAGTCTTAGATTTACTCGACACGGTAATATCATAAATCTCAGATAGTATACATATATACACTATATATATAGTAGTCATAATTTATAAAAAATTGTATTGATTATTTTAGATATTCTTCGTGTTACGTAAAAAGCAAAATCAAGTGACGTTTTTACACATCTATCATCATTCAATGGTATTGGTGCTTAGCTGGGGTGTATTAAAATTCTATCCAGGTAAAATGAATTTATAATACATTTCATCAATGTTGTTATACTGCGTCCAGTGAGAGAACACAACTGATCGGCGATCAAAGCTCGTCTATTGCTGCTCATAATACATAGAGACTTGCGCGAACGAGTTGCGTTCTCTCGCTGGACGAAGTATAGTAAAAATTAATAATTTACTTATGAATATTTGGTAAATTTAGGAGGACAAATCATCTTATTTGGGACCATAAATGCATTTGTTCACATTGTCATGTACAGTTACTACTTCTTGACCATATTGAAACCAGAGTACAAAAAAGCATGGTGGAAAAAATATTTGACACAATTACAACTGGTAATGTTTTAAATTTAGAAACTCGACAAAGATAATATTTTCCCATAACAATGAAAAATATTTTAATATCTCTAAATGTTATTATTAATTATTATTATCTCAAGATGAAACTGGTTTAATTTTTAGATGTTAATTTATTTCAACAGTAGGTAGCACATTTTTCATAATTCATAAGTCGCGAAACAAAACTTAAATGTATTTATTTTTTGAAGATAATTCATACACTTATAATATTTTATTTTCAAACAATATAATATTGAAGAATCTCTTTATGTAATAAATTATTTTTGAACAACAATCATAGACTTGATCTGGTCAATATTACGGTGAACGATCTATTTATTTTATTTCACCCCCAAATATAGTATTTTTTTAAGATCAATGTAACTTTTATAGTTCTTTTTTTAAACTATTAAACTATTCATTACTATAAATAAATACTCAACTAAAATGTACGACATATTTTGGAAAATATAACTTTTTTGGTGAGAGGGTAGAAATGCGGGATGGCTAGGTATTGTTGATTTTAAATTTTAATGGTTATAAGTTATAACTTATAAGCCGTGAAGTACTCATAATTATATTACGAACTAATATATATAAAATATTATATCGATATCTATATTGTTATGTAATACCAACTGATGTTTTAAATAATTCTTGCAGATTCAATTCGTTATCACTGGTCTTCACGGATGTGCAACATTATTGTCAACTGACTGCAGTTATCCCAAATTTATAATAATGTTAGCATTGCCACAAGATATTTTTATGTTTGTTTTGTTCTGGGACTTTTACAAAAAAGCTTATAAACAACCCAAAAATAAACTGACTTAATTATTTGTTTACAACTACATGCATTTTTATTTAAATCTGTTCCTTCTTGAAGTCTTAAATTGTATACCTACGTGGTAAATTATAATATTTATAATGATAAATGCAGTAAAATCTAAAAAAACTGAGATAAATGAAAACTTATAGTGACATTTTAAGTTCCAATGATATTTTGGAATTCATGAAGGGAGCTGTAAAAATATATCCTGATTCTAAGAATTAAAAATATGCTTAAACGAAATTGTTAATGTTTAAAATAATATATTTCATAATAATATATATCTTACAGAAGGAAATATGCTAAACAAAGGGGCCCTTAAATTGTTGGTACGATAGTGAATACGCAGTGCTGGAATATTAAACAATCATTAATTTTCTAAAATTGTATTTTAGATTCTGAGCGGAGCGAGAAATCTAGTGGTTTTACAATGGTGTTTATTTTCTTTATTTTTTATCCTGTAGGTATACAAAATATCTACCAGAAGGAGTGCTTCGTAGGGCTGACGGTATTTTCGGTATACCGGTATTTTAAATTTATTTTGGGAAACGGTACAACTTAAAAGACCGTCTAAACGGTAAACCGTAAACATCGAATGAACGGTATACCGTAAAAACCCGTCTTATTTGTCTAGTATCAATGGCAATAATATAGATTATAATATTATATATTATAGTATTTAATAAATTACATAATGTGAAACAATATTAAAGTAAAAAATATCGATACTAGTTAGATTTTATTTATTATTTCGGTATACCGTACCATGTTGGTATATTTAGGAATACCGAAACATTTCGGTTTTTCGGTATACCGTTTCAAACCGATAGGTATTGAAATCAATACCGTAACACCGCCAGCCTTATACGAGTAGTAGTAGTGCTTCGGTTTCAACATAAAATAATATCTTATCTTTTATCAAATTGGATCAACATGGTACTGCGTAGAGGGGTCGATTTTCTCAATAGTTATTTAATGCCACTGGAATAACCACCGACAAATTACGAAAAACCTCTAAAAACGTATAATAACAATTTTAACAAATTTTCATTTATTTTTGTTCTTCCTGATTACTTTAAAAAATCCTGAGAATTACCAATTTCGACCACCCAAAAGTACAAACTATATCCAATTTTATTCCAAAAACCTCAATTGAAGTTTATGATCAGAGCATTTTTTTCACTAGAAAGTTGAGAAGTTGTACAAACATTTTCAAATACCTCACCTAAACGTCTGCAATCATTAGACTGGATAAAATAAAAATAAAATTGTAATTAACTTTCAAGCACCCCCCCCCCCATCCGAAAATCTTACGTACGCTAATGGTTATATCATTATATTAATAAATTAAAAATTAAAAAATAGAAATAGATATTTGTAACTAAAAAATAAAAATATGTAGCATAATATTATTTTGTCAAGCATTTAATGAATTAGGATGATTTTTAGAATAATACAATTATTTGTATTTCTATGGCGACAATAAATCGTTACTCGAATTCAGTTCGAAAATAAGTTGTATTCAGCTCAAAAACATATAGGTATTAATGCCCGTATGCATAAGACCTAAGGTACCTATTATATTAAAAAAAAAAACTGTGAAATACCTGATTATTATATTTTTTTATTGATAGAGTATATTATTTAATGCTTCCTTTCCTTAGACAAAATATTAACTACAATCTGCAATAGTAGGTAAGTACTAAGTACTACATTAGTACAATATGTATACCTACCGGTAACCAAGGTGCAGTGCTGGAATAGATAACTAAAAAATTATCTATATAAGATAAGATAATTTTAACAAAATATTATCTAGATAAAAATAAAGATAACATAAATGTAGTAATTTATCTAGATAAAGATAAATATAACAATACATTTATCTTGATAAATATCATTTTTTGATTCTGAGTGGAACGATGGATGTATTTTTTATTTTTTTAAATAGATTATGGTTTTTGGTGTAACTTTAAAACAAATGACCGTAGATAAATGAAATTTTCACTGAATATTTATTTTATTAATTCTTATACTTGATAAAATTTTCAAAATATTTTGACTTGTTTTAAATTGTTTACGGTCATTTTCAGTTTTCAATTTTTTTAGTTTTTTTATTATAAATATCAATAAAGTTTTATCTGTTGGGCCAAAAAGTATAAAAATTTAATACAAGGCTTCTTATAATATTATATTGTTATAATAACAGTTAAAAATACATTTGCACTAATTGCACTTATTTGTTCACAACAAATGTTCAGGTAGCAATATTGAGCAAACACTGAGCTTTGAGTAAAAAACATACACAATTATAGGAAACTCATTAAGTACTTATAATATATCTATGTACATAAATACATTTGTTTTATTCTATTATAATATTATTATGCGGGGTGCCGCCACTGGGTGACTTCCCCCTCCCGCTAATCATCCCCATCCCATTTACTTATTGTAATACATGTAATTATAGATTGTAAATAAAATTTTTTTTGTTCAATAAAAAAAAAAAAAAAAAAAAAATATATTATTATCCAGAAAATAAATAATAATGAAAAATTGACGAATCGACCAATATTAATTCGTCGTCATTTTATTATCAGATTTGTTATCAGTTGTACATAATATTATAATAAAAAATATATTGTTGGAGGAAAAATATAATTTTAAATTATATTTTATATTTTTATAAGAATTCTTTAGAATATTTTCTAGTTATGTGCATTCAATCAGTTCAAGTATAATATTGATATATTTTGTACTTACTACTACACTATGTGTATACTACAGTCTGTAGGTATTCTGTACCATTTTTAATTTTGTTGCGGGACGTGAAACTATCTTCCGCTAGTAAAATTTTAAAATATGTGGAGGGTACCTAGTACTGAGTAATTTAGGTAGGTAAGTGAATTATAGAGTTTAGGTATCCAGTTTTCACGGACAAACTGTATATTGCTATAATATGACATGGCGTCATTGCCATGATAAATTATATTTTATTATTTATTATATTATGTGGACGGATATTATATAATATAATATTGTAATTTATAAGTCATACTGTTACAATCAAAACAAAAAAAAAACGAAAGAGATTAATTTAATTTTTTTTTTATTTAAAGCCGCAACAACAATTATGGTTTATACTTTATAGTACGATTATGATATATACAATTTGACCTGTTACATTAGGTTGTACAATTTAAGTTAATTTTAAATATTTAAAAACATTTTGGTGTTGTCACTGAATTTGGACTAGGTGCTTCATAAAGATTTTCTGCAATTTCAAGCTCTAATGATACTGAAGTTTCAATTTGTGATGTTTTGGTGCAGAGAAACGGTATCCAGTAGTATCCGAGAGCACCAGGTAGTGTCATAATATGGTTAAATTCGTTTGGTATATATCGAGAGAAACTATCCCTAGAACTGGTTTGGTTTCGGTTGTTCTTAAAATTTTTGTTTTGAATGACGTGTAGATTGTTGTATACTTGTATGTGCTTCGTTGTTTGCGACAACCAGTAATTACTTAGGGAGAAAAAAATTTATTTTATCAAGAAACTATCTCAAACAAGTATCAATGCTTTTTTCGAGAATTTTGAACATTGTATTTTTGTAAAGATATTGGCCTGTACAATTTAGTTAATTTAAAACAAATGTTGTTGTTGACTGGATCTGGACAGTGGACACTCAGTGCTTTCGAGAAACAATCTCAACCGAGTATCGATGATTTTTTCGAGAATTTTGAACGTTGTATTTAGTATAAAGATACTGACCTGTACAATTTATTTCGTTAATATTAAATATTTAAAAAACATTTAGTATTTCTGGATCTGGACTCAGTGCTTCATCAATATGTTCTGCAATTTCAAGCTGGTCTCTAATGATACTAAAGTATCAATTGAAAATTTGTAATATTTTGGTGCAGAGAAACGGTATCCAGTAGTATCCGAGGGCGCCACGTAGCGTCATAATATGACGGTTTTTAAAATTTTCGTTTTGAATGACGTGTAGATTGTTGTATTTGTATACGCTTGTAGACGTACTTTGATGTTTGCGACAACCAATTTGATAGGGTGAGAAAAATAATTTTTTTTTTTCCAGAAACTATCTCTACCGGGTATCAATGCCTTTTTCGAGAATTTTGAACATTGTATTTAGTATAAAGATACTGACCTGCACAATTTAGTTAATTAAAAAAAAATGTTGGTACTGTCTGGATCTGGACTTAGACACTCAGCGCTTCATTAAGATTTGTTGAGATTTCAAGCTGGGCTCTAATGATACTGAAGTTTCAATTTGTAATATTTTGGTGCAGAGAAAAGGTGTCCAGTAGTATCCGAGGGCACCAGGTAGTATCATAATATGGTTAAATGCTTTTGGTATATCGAGGGAAACTAGCCCTAAAACTGGTTTGGTTTCGGAGGTTTTTAAAATTTTTTTTTTAACGACTCGTAGATTTTTGTATACTTGTATGTGCTTCGATGTTTGCGACAACCAGTTTGTTAGGGAGAAAGAGAATTGATTTTATTGAGAAACTATCTCAACCGGGTATCAATGATTTTTTCAACAATTTTGCACATTGTATTTAGTAAAGATTTGGCCTATTCTGTGATTCATTTTTCTTTTTCGGGTTTTGGAATAGGTATAACAATAGCGTGTTTCCAAATTATTGGAATTTGATCAGAAATAGATTAATTTATAGACTAATTATTTTAAACTAGTTTAAAATATAAATAAATAAGATAATAGATGCGAAAAATATAAAAAAAATTATATCGTTATAAGTATACAAAAAAGATTAATATTAGATTGTGAAAAAATTAAGTAAAATATGAATAATAGTAGGCATTACTTATAAGTTTTATATATAATCTGCGTAATAACTAATACTATGCTAGCTAAGCCTCAACATTTTCAAAAAAGTTGGGAATACTATAGAAAAATAATTATTTATAGATACGTTTTTAAATATAATAATAATAATAATATGCTAGATAAAATTTAAAAA